GTTCTCCCTTTTTTTCCTTTAAGGAACTATAACCGCTTGTCGATTTGGGTCGATTCTAGACACCTTCACACTACCTTTGGTCCTTCATAGTATTCATGGGTGCCCAAAAATGCATGTGAAAAAGCTTATAAGCGCGATGAGCCAATCTGACGGTTTATAGATAGTCTAGTTTATAGTAAGGCTGCAATCAAAACTCTTAAGCCTTTTTTGGTACTTTTTTTCTTAAATATGAGCTTTTGTTTTTAAAATAACAGTTGTTTTGAGCAAAGTATATTATTTTTATTTACCGCTTAAGAAATCCCATGTTAGTATTTAAGCTCGATAAACTTTCTGCATGTTGCGCAAAAGACTAAAGTTGTAAGGCGATTCTAGACCTGCCTTTGCATATTGAAGAATACGAAGCTAATGCGCCCATCCACTCTCAGAATTATAATACAAAAGGAAGGTCTCCGCACAAGGTATGTGTACCTGTGACTTCCGGGAAAAACTGACCTTGGCGTCGGGGAAGGGTTAAGGTCGCTATTTTTCCAGTATACAGAAAGAAGGTGACCAACAAATACATTTATATGCATCCGACAGCAGGGCGAGAACTAAAAGCACGCCCTCATCTTTTAATAATCTTCGCTTCTTGGAACCGAGTTGGCCTCATTTGTGTACCCGCACACAGTTCTTTTACGGGCAATGAAGTCAGATATTCTCGCCAGAAATGAAGCTGGACAGGGATTCATAGGCTCTTGGCCTTCATGGGTGTACCACGGAACTTGGGTGAAAATATAACGACTGCACGAAGCATGTGATGCAACGTTACAAAACCAAAAGGGTGGCAAAACAAAAAGGCTAAATCCTTCCAGTGCAGGCTGTGTAACGGCGAGCGAAAAGCGGCAGGTCACATTATGCGCGACTGTGAAGCACAGACTACTTTTCCTAGGGTCACCGTAACTAGCAGCACGTGACTTAAATAGTATTTCATCAAGGTGACTCGCACGGATGCTTAGCGATACGTGGATCAAGGAATAGCTCTATACAAATAGGAGTCTGTTAGAACAGAATCTAAGGTGCATGAATAAATCGTAGTACTTCCGTAGTGTCGTCTACTCTGTGACCAATAGAGATGAGCAAGAGAAAGGAAACCATCAGCATTCCTCAAAGAACTTGACCAATGTAGAAGCTGGAAATTATAATAATTATTATTATTTTATGCAATATGCAACGCGATCTCTAAAGTGATCTATTGTGCGTGACCCTCCGCCCAATATGGGAAGGCATTTTTTTTGCGTATACATATCTACATACAGTGACGAGCAAAACTGTAACATGGAGTAACACCTTTTCTTTCAGCTGTCGCTATCTTTCCAAGTTCTAACGACATTCATACTGTTGTTCTGTATTTTTATTGGTACATCTTTGCTTCCTCTGTCATAACGATTTGAAGTCAATTCAACAACATTAAAGAAACCAGCAGACAAAAATGTAAATTAAGGCATATGTTACAGTTTTGCACTCATGTATTTTTAATAACTTTTTGACAATTTTCACAAAAAAAAAGAATTATTAACACAATGTTCAGTATGGTTTTGCTTTATTTAGTTTCTGGTTGCAATTTGGCATACCTAATGTACATGTCTGTAAAAATTCTGGAGGTATAGCCTCCCATATATCCTTGGTTTGCTTTCACAGCTCACGTACTCCATTGGACGGACTTGGATACTTAGTAAGATGCGCTTTTAGTTGATTTCGCAAATTCTCGATGAGATTCATGTCCTCGGATTGTGGAGGTCATTTCAAATTAGCAAATTTCTGCTTTTGTTCCAGTCTTTGCGAACATGTGCAGTGTGTTTTGGTTGCTTTTTCAGCAGAAACTCTAATTTTTTCGACTACATCTTGCAAATTTTGTTGAAATATGAACAGATACTGTTCCTTACGCATAATACGTACAAACGGATCAACAACATTTTTGAAATACAACCCCAAACTAATATTGACCGACCACTGTGATTCACAGTTTGCCTTACATGATGCGCTTAGGCTTAATTTGGGCCTTTGTTCCAATACCATGCCCGGCCATCTGCTTAAAAGCTATTAATTTAGTCTTGTCAGACCACATAAGCCTCAATTAAATCTTAAAAATGTGTTTTTTATTGCGTTATGTAAGGCCTAACGTATCCCAATAGGCAACGGTCCGGTTTTCGCGCGATGCAGCAAAACGCTGCCCCACTCGCACATGTATTTTGATCAAATTTGCTTTTTTCTTCTTTTATGATCCATTTTGCTCAATTTGGCAACTTTTCGCCT